TGCCCAAACGAACCCCAAAACCCTCTCAATACCCCTACCTCCAAACTCTTCCAAAAACATGCCCATCATCCCTCCACAAACTGCCCTAACCATCCCCACGTCTACCTTTACACCCCCACTTGAAAAATCATCTAAAACCATGCCTTTACCCCTCCTAACCACTGCCCATCACACCCCCAACTCCGGTCCAACGCCCCCACCCCAATCCGTTCCCAAAGTCGTGTCTTTAAGCCTACCACAAACCCCCAAGAGTACCCTTGAAGAGTCATCTTTCTTCATGGTTCCAACCCCCACCTTTGCTCCCCAATTTTCTAAGTCCGAACTACCTTCCTCTCAAACTACCGAAACCATGCAGCCCACTACCCCAAAGATTATTTGGGATGAATATGATGACGAGGACTATAATCCCATTTGGGATGAAGAACTTGTCAAAGAGAATGAAGAAGTGTTTGAAGACGCAGAGGATAACCCGTTTTGGGTTATAGAGATGAAAGAAGAAGAGCAAGACGAGAAGACCCACGAAGAAGTCGTCACTCCTGACTCGGAAACCTCCGCTGGAGACCTATCTTCGTTAGGTACCAAACGTGTTGAGTTTTTGCAGGTCCCGTATAAAGAGAGGATTGAGAAGAGTCGTGACTCGAAATGGTCCATTCAGCCCGGCGACCTAGTATGGGTTCACGTTCATAAGGCGCGTTTATTTAATAAACGCAAGTCAAAGCAACAACCCCAAGACGATGGCCCGTTTGAAGTGTTGGCAAAGGTTCACAAAAACTCATACGCGGTTGATCTTACACGAGGCCTAAAAATTACTGCCACATTCCATCAAAGAAATCTTACCCCGTACGAGGATTTTGAAGATCTTCCGAGTTTGAGGACAAACTCTTTTGAAGACCGGGAGGATGTTATACCCGGGCCTGGCCCTATCATACCCTCCCCCATGTCCTACACCCTCGCAAAACCCAAAGGACTTACGTTCAAACATTATGATCCGTTTTAGTGAGAATTCCAGGTCCTTCAACCCGAGAGGCCTGAATAATTTCGGACCCAAGGTTTCCGCAGACCAAATCCCACTCCGTCCAACCCAACCCTAAACATCCAAAACTCCTTGCCATTTAATTCATTTCAAAATAAAGCTTTTCCTACTCTTATTTTAGCCCTGACAGAAAATAAGTGTGTAAAATAAAACCTTTTGTTTGTTGTTATTTTCCTTCTTTTAAGCCTTTTATTAAACAAATAAAACCCTCCCTTTATTCCATTCATCCCCTGGACAAAATACACTTCACAACCCCAACACAACACCCAAAAAGAGCCAAAATCCTGACCCACCACAAACCACTAATCCCTGCCCATGTTCCNGCATGCCACATGTGCATCCACATGTGCACCCATTTATGAAGTGGATATATGCATTGCACCTATTTTAAATATCTTTTAATACATTTGTATAAAATTTTTCATTCTTTAATAATTCTGAATATATATTTCACCATTGTAAAATAAACTTCGTATTTTGAGTACACACACATAAAATTATTTTTATACTATCCACAGCTTATTTTAGTTTATTACTTCTCGAAAAATGATTGTATAAATTTAAAGGGTGACAACTGACAAATGACATCATGACACATATATATTCTCTAATGATGTATCATTATGCATGTAACTGATCCACTTTTTATTATAATATTTTATTGATTCAAACCATTTCTATTTAGTACTTAATTCAATGATTATTAATTTTGTAAAATTGTTTTTTTTAAATTAACATACCAATATACTCTGTATGTTCCATCAGTCTAAAACATATTTTGTCACTATTAGAAACTAAAACAACTAAAATTATATTTATAAAATCTCAAAAGTTTAGAATATATACGAGCCCGTGCGAAGCACGGGGTAAACACTAGTTTCTAAGTAAAGTATGGTTCATTCCACCTCATTTTTACCCAAATAATAGCCTTAAAACCCAGAAACCAACCACTACAAACCAAAGCTCAAACCCCCCACAACCCCAGCCCCATCCCTGAATTTTATCCCACTTTGGAGACAGGATTCAATGAGTGTTACCCCATACTTTGGAAGTGGATGTTGCTAGGAAGCTTCCTCATGTTCACATTCAATGTATTATGTATTTTCCCCTTCCCCTCTCCCTATATAACTCAGGCCATATGGCCATTGTAACACATCTCTGAATATTGAAAATCTTTTACTCTTTGGGTATTATTAAAATAGTGTGATGCTATTTTAGCCAAATTCCTAATTCTATATCTTAAGAGTGGTTATCTTAAGTGTGAGTTTTAGGTTCTAGATATTTAATTAAGTGTGTCATATCTTAATTAAATTCTAGATTCAAACCTCAAGTTAGGATAAGAGTGTGTAATATCTCTTAACCACCAACTTGGTTTATTCATCCCTAATTTTCTTCCATTTCATATCCCCCCATTTCTCCTTCTTAATCCTATTCATTTTCTTCCATAAAATACCGGAAAAAAGAACTCCTAAAACACCCTCCATACTTTCGCCCACTATTTCCCTTGCATTTTCCTCCGCACATCCGCCACTAAATTATCAACTTGATAAGACCCCCGGTTCACCCCTAACATAACAGCCATGTCGAACCCTGTTTCCTCTTCCCACAACATTTCCAGTAAGCCACAAGTAATGCTGCCATCACACAAATGGGAGTTGCCCATCTGTACCAACAATCTGATTGTGTTAAACTTTAACACAGCTCTTTGGAGAGAAAGGGGTGTGGGGGGGGGGGGGGGGTGGAGCAATAATACTTAGAAGCCTGTTTGGTAGGCATTCATTTTGGCTTATCAATCTACATTTTCACCAAACATTAAATAATGATACTGTGACAGTTGAATTAGCTCAAAATGAGAAAAAAAAATGAAACTTTTTTTTCTCAAGCGGATGAAGCTTATATTCAACAGCAACAGTCCATTAAGATCCCAAAAGTTGGGACAAGGGAAGGTGGATGAGGCTGGATGTACGCAGATCTTATCCTACCTTAAGGTAAAGAGGTTGTTTCTGAAATACCTTCGGCTCAAGAAAACATGAAAACTAAGTTATTTTAACCATGATTTAGGCAGATTGAGCCATTTGGAGCCTTACCAAACAGGTTCTTAGCATAAAACTTTATTTCATTAAGAAATTGAGTAGATATGATGTAACCTGTCTAAATCAAGGACAGGACTGTACACGACATTTTCCCAAGTTGTGACGATTACATGCCATACGGAGTTGTAATACAGAGACTCGGCTGACCAAAACATCCTTGTGTATGTTTCTAAGAAAATAAAAAGTATCCATGCTCCAATTTCAACCAGAATAAACTTCACAACAAATCGACCAACCACCACCATGACAAGAGAGAAAGCCACCAGCCAATTGAAGAGTCTGTGATTATATTCCTTAATGAAGAGAGATTTGGACTTCTCCATCATCTGCAATTTTTTATGAATTAGGCAGGCATAATGACACTGCCTACCCAGGCTTGGCAAATGTATACTATACGGGTTATATGCAAACCATACTGTTCTGGGTATTTTTGTATAAACATGTGCACGGTTCAGAGTATTATTAAAGTTTGCACCCTGTGTGCTGAACTTCACTGCTTGAGAAACAATTATTCATTCCATAACTGAGAACCACTTTTTGTTGTTTTGCAGAAATAAAAAACCATAAACAATGCCATTTGAAAAAGTGAATTCTACCAGAAACGTGAAGTGGGAACTGAAGAAATTGCAGCAAACCTTTTTCATTCGTTGTTCATAGTTTCTTTTAGAAGGTCCAACACATTCCTTTTCAAAACTTTGGTTGCACTGAAGAAATCCAGCATTGAATTTTGCCATTGATGGAAGTCTGAGGACTTGAAGGTGGTCCATTTTATCCTCACACCGAGTATATAAGGCCTCACACAACTTTGAGGATTGATATTCGTTTGCCAAAATAAAATTTTTATACACCTGCACAAAGAGCGTGATCAGCAATACTAATAATGTCTATGATGTACTCCCTCTGTCCAGATTTTTAGCTGTCCACTTTCTTATTTTTGTTTGTCTAGAATTAGTTGTCTACTTTTCATACCCAATAAAGAAATTATGGCAAATTTTCTAAAATGTCCTAGAGATAGGGTATGAACATTGTTGACATGGATGAATGACAAACTCATTTGAAGGTCTTATTCAACATTTCAAAGTAATTTTTTTTAGAAATGGGGTGTTTTAGAAAGTGGACAACTAAATCCAGACAAAGGGAGTACATTTTAGCAGTAAAAGGTCTCTTGTGAGACTTTTCCAGTGAGACGATTATGAGATAGAAATACTTTTCTTTTTCAAAGAAAAACATCAAAACATAATTCAATTTTGTTATCACTATAAATAATACCTTAATTTCAGGGTACTTTTTAGTCCAAAACATACTTTTCTTTTGTCTATAAGTATTTTTTTAAGAGGTATTCATGTCTCATGCAGAGATGGTTTCTCTCTAGTTTTTGGGTTAAAGTGATCAATTCAAACCTTATCGATTTCTTCTTCTAGCTTGTCAACTGATATCTTAGCATGATGACGACCAAAATGCTGCTCGTCAAAAACCCTCATCGTTGATTCTCTATAATCTTCATGAGCTTTTTGCAAGGACTCTCCAGGCATTGGTAAACGCAAGCTGCCCATCTGACCACTATACAATTTAAGACACCTCTCTTGGATTCCCTTATTGAAGACTTCCACAAGCGATCCTGTGGTTGGAATCTCTCCTTTATTCAAGGCCTCAAGAATCTTATACCAGAGTTCAAGAAGATTTACATGTTAGAGTTAGATAAGCATTGCAGGAAATATGACCAGGCAAACAGTATTTACATAGAAATAGTCCTATAGAATACTTTCCTGCTCCCAAAGCCAATAAATATCTGGATAAGAATTATTCACCTGTTCAAGGAAAGCCACAAATTCCTTTCCATTCAGAGATTTACCCTGGACAATCTTTGGTTTAATAATTGACGAGACAACATCTTTCAGTTCGTCCCTCTTCTTCACATAAATGGGATCAAGTTCCGTATCATTCATGTCACAAAGCTTAGTGCGCTGAAGATGCGGCTGTACAAAATCATAATTTTTTAAAAATATCATTCTAAGATCTCAATAAATAAAACAATATAAGTCAGAACCACAACTACAGACCGTCTTCTATAAATAGATGTAAGATGTCACTAAGCTGCAATTGTGTATACCCAGCAAACAGAAAACAGAAAAGGAAATGACAGATATCACCATGGATCTAAAACTGACAATAATTTCCATCAACCAGAAAGGAGCAAAAGAGTCAAACTAAAGAGCCAGTACTACCTGTGGTAAGCTGAAGGCTGTGCTGCTATCACCCATAACAGCTAAAGAATCACGAATCTGGTTAACCTGATATCAAATAACACATTATCACATAACAATAAGTACAATGTATAAAATATGTGACTATTCTGATACTCTAAAGAAGCTGCAGAACAAAATTACCTGATCAATATCTTTGTTGCCTGCAGTTCAAGAAACAAACATAATTTTCATTAGATAAGGCAACATTTAGCCCTTTATTAGTAATAATAATCTCTCTTTGACAAAGAAGTGGAAACAAACTAACCACTTGTATTAGGAACATGCTGGAGAGCTTCATGAACCATCTCTTGCACAGATTTTCCTTCTGCAAATGCCCATAGAATAATGTTTGAAAATGGTAAGAGTGGCTAATTACTTGATTAGTAAAGAACAAGAAAGGCGGATCTCATATTATCAAACAAGAAACTACAGCCAAGAGTCCAGTAAAGTGGTGTATATAGAGACAAAAACAAACCATTATGGGTCGTGTAAGTTACCAGAAAGGGTTTTACCTAAATCTTCCATATACAAAACAGTTGGTTCATAAAATCAATTTTGAAAGAAAACATGCACAAATAGAATAGAAGGGTTCAAATGACATCAGTTTATTAGTATTGTTTAGTTCAGAACAGACAATGAGCTAAGAACTACTATTCTAATTAGTAGTTGGTTAAAAAATATCATAGAATTGTTAAATTGAACAAAAATACCCCACACATTTTTTAAAAGCAACAACAAACCCAATGTAATTCCAACTCTGTTGGGGTCTGGGGGGTCAAGATCTACGCAACTTTACTCCTATAAAAAATTGAGAGGCGTTTCTATAAGATCCGTGATGCATTAAATAAATTAAAAAATCATTTACTTTGTAATGTATTTATTTATCTAGTAAAAAATATTATTTATATTTACTACAATTCACTTTTTTATTTTATTACAATAACCCAATATGGTCCCACATGTAGACTCAGGAGGGTGGACATTCGCTAACTTACTCCTACCTAGAAAGGTAGAGAGATTATTTTGACTGCTCACATTTTTTATTATATTGTGTATATAAAATATTGACTACTTTCTCTGTCCCTATTTTATTAATCATACTTTTATTTTTTAGTTTATCTCAAAAATACTTTCTGTGTATTGTTGTCTTTAGTGTGTATAAAATATTTACTATTCCCACTGTGTGACCTATCTGATAGACAACTTTGGGATACATCACATTTTATTTGTTTTCATGACAAACAATGTCACCTGTAACTAGGAACATATAGAATATAATGTGTATAATACTTATATAATTTCTTACTCTGTATTAAGTATGTAACTATGTAAGTGCAATACAATAAAGTATAGTGGAAATAACCTCTTTTTGCAGGGTTCAGGTTGCAAACATCATGACCCCCAAACCCGAACAGAGTAGGTATTACAATCCTAGTTATCACGGCATCGCCTAGGCGTCCAGGCGCCCTTCTACTCTCTCCATGGGAGCTTGCTCGCCTTATTTTGCATACCTTGCCTAGGCGTCGCCTTGCCTTGCCTAGGCGCGCCTTATCCTCGCCTTGCCTAGTCCAGTACTTTTTTTTACTCAAGACCTTTTTTTGAAGTGTTTTATACCCCTGGCTCCAGTGCTTTGTTTTTTAATGCTTTCTAAATTAGTTTATTTCCAATTAAATATTTTTTCTACTTTATCTTCTTAATTAATACTCGGTACTTAATTTTTTAAATTTTAAATGATTAATTGTTTCCAATTTAAGTCGATAACGCTTTTTTCCAACTTTGGTTTTTTTTGTTGAGGAAAGTACCTAAAAGTAACTTGGTGTTAAACTTTGATGTATTAGAAAAACTTAAACTTTACCAAATACAATATATAATTTGATACTCTGATATTTATATTAGTATTTTTAATGTATAGCAATTCTCCTATATTATGTGTCGCCTAGTCGACTAGGCGTCCTGGCTGTGCCTCGACTTGGCACCGTGATAACTATGACTTCAATAGGTTTCTTGTTGTATTTATAAAAAAAATATGTTTTAATGCGTACATTTACATGAGAAGGGCATTTAAGGCATTAATGAAACACTACCTACTCTTGAGAAATGAAGAATTGGTTATACTACGACCCCTAGGAATCACTAATTGCTCATTCATCAAAAATGTGTCCAAAGAAATGATGGAATAAGTCAAACATTGAAATACAACTTCCCAAAATTCTTAAGAGGAGATTTGCCTTCTTACGTAGAAAATCTCGCTGGATTAGCCAAACAAGCTTAGCAGGTTCAAATGCAACATCTTGCCCCTGCACAAAACTTACCCTCTGAGCATCATGACTAATCAAAGAATGTCATTTACCAAAGAAAAGTGCAGATTATCTATAATAATCACCTTGACTCTGTGTTTTGCACAATGCACATGAGGAGAAATCACGGGAAAAAGAGCCAAATAAAGAAAGGAGTTAGAAGATACAATAGAATATATAACACAAAGGAAGTGAAACTTCAATAACTGTTTCATCGAGTTAAGGGAGCTGCATACCTTCCATAGAACTCTTCAGCAAGCTCAACTGCAAATGACAACCTAGAAATGTCCGCTTCACGGATCTTAAAACATTTTAAAAAAAGGAAAAATAATAATAAGAAAATTTAATCAATTTCTCCAATATGCTAGCACATAGTATTATCAGTCCTAACAACAGATTACTATGTTTAAACAAGGTCCTACAGGTTCATGCAACATTTCTTTCTTTAATATTCACCATTCATCATTTTTCTGAGCTAAGTTTTTCCCATCAGAAAAATAAAACAGGTTCATGGTGGAAGTAAACTACGCAGCTATGCGAGCAAATACCACAGGTTATGGTGTAGATAGAAATAGATTGAAAAGAAGTAGCAACGATAGGAATGAATATAACATAAATTTCTCATCCACCAAGAACTTTTGACGTGATATTTTTCCATGAAAAACTAGTAGATGAATAATTGCACGACCGCTAAGTGTTGCTGCAATTACTTAGCATTTGCCACATTTAAATGTAAAGGGCTTATTTGTAGATACTCTAAATTCAAAATTATTTGGCACACAGACTCAAACAAGGTGTGAGATTGTGAGAATCATAGGCAAAGAACAAACCGTCTCAGGTAGATTATAAATAAGCACAGAGCTTAAAACCGTTGCCAGGGCAAAAATCCTGCACAATCAAGATAACTATGAATAGAAAAGATAGTCTTAGATAAATCCCTGTGGTAAGGTTTTAGCAACCTATATAGAGTAATTACCTATCGTCATATACATTTGACTTTCCAACACTTTCAAAACCTTCCGTGTCAAGGTAGAAAACAGAAGTCTTTACTCCATCAATTTCCAAGATTATGGGGCTTCCCCACACCCATATTCCTGATGAAGGTTTAGGATATGGTTAAACAATAACAACAAATAGCTAAAACTATATAGCGTAATCCCACAAATTTATTTAATTTTTGCATGGCACCTTTGGTCTTGGTGTCACGCAAATGCCCAACTCCAAAACCTGCAGATAATGAAATCATGAAATTAGTTGTATAAAGGGATTGCTTAAGTTATCAATGAAAACTATATAACATGTTAACCAACTGAGTGTAAGATGCACCTTCATAACAAGATAGTGAAAGAAGCTGGTTCAGAAGAAATGATTTTCCAGAACGATATGGACCAATAACCTGCCACCCATTTGCAAGTTACAACAGCTAGCATGACTTTCTTTAAAGGGTAAAAATAACATAGTGGGAAGCTAAAGTTAGCGTAGATATGAATAGGGGGCTCTTTACTTCCTCAATAGCAGTGCCAGTAGAAAGATTTTTCAGTGTATCATGTGAATGCAATAGAGAGAGAGTGTTTGTGTGTCTGTGTGTCTGTGTGTGTTTGTGCATGTGAGTGTGTGTGCGCGTGTTTATATGGTATATAGTCTAGAGAAAGAACAATGCATAATATATTTCATAACTCTTATTGCAGGGAAACATGAATGCCAGGCATAAGTATATGGTAAAAGAAATCAGAAAATAAATCACTTATATGCATTCCAGCATGGGTGTTGTATAAAACCTACAGCAACAGCTGCAATGGGGGTTGTTATTCTTTCTATTGCCTCCAACCCTTCTTTTGAAAGACGAAGTTTTGTGTGACCAGGATCAGGCTCTATTATCGGAAACCTGCAAGAATAGAAAAGGATAATATTATTAGGAAAACAAAGTAATGTGCATAGGGAGTGTTTGCAAAAAATAAAGTTTTTGCTTTTGGCTTATTTGAGAACTTTTTTGGGAATTTGAGTGTTTGGTAAAGTTTAAAAGTGCTTAATAATTCACTTTTTAAAGCCATAAGCCAAAGGCACGTTGATACATGCTTAAATATCTGCTTCTTCTTTTTTGTACATTTCTGCTTATTGCTTATTTTAAACAACTTCAAAATTCTGTCACAACTAACATTTTTCTACTTTACTCTTTAGGGACAATTATGTCTTTCGCTTATAGAATAACCACACAATTTTGGTTTGCAAACACTCAAAGGGATTTAAACATAAAAACACTACACACTTCTACTTTTAATTGCAACAAGAACCCACTTGAATCCCACAAAATTAGGCTCGGGGGAGGGTGTGTGTAGGCAGACCTTACCCCTACTCGAAAGTAGAGAGGCTGTTTCCAAAGAGACCCCAAGCTCAGCGTCGGAAGTGACATTGATTGACTAACTGCTGATTCATTAATAAAAGAAGCGCAGACCATTTAGAGATCCATTTTGCTTTATTCTATCACACCACAAAGCCAAAAAATAGTGAATTTTTAGTTCCATCAAAGATGACGGAACTTCTACTTTTACTTGCACGATTACTTATTTATCCCACAACAGAAAAAACAAAGGTTTAATTTTTTGAAAACACTCTTAAAGACACAAACTTTAAGCTTGGACTACTTTGTTTTTATGTTGCATAGTAGGTGATCAAAATGCAAAACCACTAAGACACAAGAACAATCATCAACAGATAGTCAACCAAGGACCATTTTCACCAAGACACCAGATTAACCAATCAGGATCAGGGTAAGCAAATCAATCACATAAAACTCCATTAAGCAAACTGCAAAAGGAACTAGAAAGAACTCCAATCGGAGGTGCCGGTTTCCATGTACTCTCAAAGCTTTTCCCATCCCCAAAATCTGAATATCCTCGTCTATTCTAGCAAAGTACGTAATACTTCGAAGGCCACACCTCCCCATAAATTTTGTTGGAACTCAGCAATGCACGCACACACACGCACACACACAAACACATTTTATTAGAATTACCCATCCACTTGGAGAAAAATGTCAAACTGCAATCCTAACATAAGAAACAAAAATTTATGTTCACTACAAAATTACCAATGACAAAGTAATTTAAGGTTAGATCAGGAATACCAATCTTAGGGCTATACTTTCAAGATCAGATTTTTTTTACCCAACTCCAAGAAGAGGAGCTAGCATACATAGAAGACCGCAATGCATGTATTGAAATGATTCTAAAAAGGCGCGTAAAGCTCTGAGAAGGGGGGCTTACGCTCGATTAAAATCGGCGTCAATGGAGAATGAGCCAGATGCGATGAAGCAAATAAAAATGGAGCAGACGATAAGACGACCCGAAACCTTCATTCTTGATCCGGCAACTGCGAGGTGAGCTTCGTGCGGTTACAACATACAAGGCCGGGAAACCATTTAAACGACAAGAAACCACTTTTGGAATGCGTAGAAGTAACAGTGGGATCTAATAAATCGAAACTCAAGAAGGAAAATAGGAAGAAGAAACCATGACCCTGTGACCCAGGGTGCAGGTTAAGGATCGCGGACTAATAAATTATGCGGAGTAGATGGTTGAGATGTGAAGGATTCGGACATGGAATGGCCGATGCAAAGGAGGAGATTCTTACCTCCTCATTTGGCCTTCTTTTTTTTTTAACACCTCATTTGAAAAAGTAAAATTTGCACTACATAGGACTAAAACGTAATGACTTTCCCAATTTAGAATTTAAATTTTTTTATTTTCTAAATAGGACTTAATAATGACCTAGAAGGAAGAATAATGTCCAGTAAACATGGACATTTACTTGAATAATGACTACTTGTTGATGACCAAAAGTCTTACATTGAGAAATAAAAACATATAGTCCTATATTCGGAAAGTCATTATGTTTTAGTCCTATTTAGGTAAATTTCTCTTTGGAAAATCTAAGATAATATTTTGGAACTAGCATTTTATTTCAGTTCATGTATTTCAATTTCAAAATTTGAATTTTTTAATTTCAAATTAGAGGGTAAAGTGTATGAATTTCAAATTGAACTTTGTTAAAAATGAGACAATTTGATTCAAATCCAAATTAAAATTTTCAAGTTTTCTAAATATAGAATTTGAACCAAATCTGGTTTTGAAATTCAAATCCAAGTTCTAAAACATACCATAATTGAATTTCATAATTAAAAAATCTCCCTTGACATAGGAGTAAATTAATTTTCTTTTTCTTTCTATTACCCAAAATTGTTTATGGATAATAGAAATAGAATCTTACTACTCCCTCCGTCCCTAAATAGATTACAATTGTTTTCTCTCTCTCCTCTCAATAACTTTTGTTTGTTTACACGATTTCATTAAGTATTTGATAAAATAAAATATTCTTGTCACCTCTTGTTTTGTAGAACTTTTGACGTAGTTTTTTAATATGTAATTTTTATAATTTCTTGATCTACCAATTTGTAAATAAAATGATTTCAAAAAATAAAAAATTTTACTCCGTAACCCGCAATTTGTAATCAAATTGGGGACGGAGAAGTATTATTTTATTTCTTTAATCTTGTATTTCCACATTTCACTTTCTACCTTATTTATGATTCTATATCATGTACTATAAATATCCTTGAGAACTTTTTATTCAATGAGATCAATGTTTTATCAAACTGTATCATAGTATCGGAGCTAAGACTCCAAACCCTAGCTCATCCCTTCTTCGACCGTGCCTAGCATCCGGTCTTCTTTTTTTGTTGACAGTCGACCGTCCTCACAAGCTTCTTCAAAATCCTTCATCGACGGTGGCTGACAATGACCTCTAATTCCAATACTCTTGCCTCCCTGCCTTTCGGAGTTAAACATTTACTCCGTAATCTCCATAATCTCGTCCCTGAAAAATTCACAGATTCAAACTATCCTACATGGTCACTCAATGTCAGGACTGCACTCGATGCTAATCTCCTTCTTGGATGGATCGATGGTCATGAAGCCTCACCACCAAAAATAATCTCCTAGGATGGAAAAGTAAACCCTAGTCTTGAATACAGTACGTGGTCTGTGATTGACACCCAAATACGTGCATGTCTTCTTGCCGTTATAAGCCCCACTGTTCACAAACATGCTTGGAGTTTTACTACCTCTATCTGCTGACCTCTGGAATGCTCTTGCTGCTTAATATAATTCGGTGTCCACAACTCATATTTATCAACTTCGAGATAAACTTGACACGCTTTGCAAAGGTACACAAACCATAACTCAAATTCTCGATGAAGTTGCCACCATTCTCACATATTTGCATGCTGTGAATGAAATAATTCATGAAAGAGATGTGCTAAATATTATTATTCGTGGTCTATCTACCAAACATACGGATGAACAACGAAAATATCAGTCTAAATCAATTTTCTAGATGGCTCACTTATGAAGAAATCAACCTTGAAATTGGGAGCAAAGTGAGTCTCGCGGATTTTAATGCTAGGAATACGCATACATCCATATTCACTTCAAACGGTCGGGGCCGCGATCGAGGAGGACATCATGGTCAATAGTCCTATCAGCGCGGGGTTTCCCTAGGTTGAGGCAATGGAAGAGGGGGAGGCCGCAGTCCATCGCGGGATCTTCCCGTTTGCCAAATTTGTGTGCAGTGTGGCCATTCTGCTGCTACCTGCTTGTACCACTATGATGACTCTTATACTGTGAACAATTCTACTACCACATCTTGTGTTATGCATGCTACCACGAGCAGTCAATTTGGTGATTGGTATTTTGATACAGGTGTCAACACTCATGTTACACATGATCTTTCACAGCTGCAAACTCCTACTCGTTATCATGGAACTAAAACTATCGCTGTAGGTAATGGTCATAATTTACCTATAGCACATAATGGCTCAAGCTCTATTCATACACCACATGGTAAATACTACCTCCCTAATAATCTTAATCATGTTCCTTCATTTGCCTCAAACTTACTCTTAGTTCACCGTTTTACCAAAGATAATAACTGCACCCTTATGTTTTATTCCAATAACTTTCACGTGCGGTACATGGGCCCTTGTGAGCATGGTCTGCACACTCTCCCTTCCAAGCCCATCTAGTTGTGTGTCAAGCAGTTACACTATCCACCTGACATCGCAGACTTGGTCACCCAGCTACTGCTATTGCCAAGTTTATTTTGTCATCCTTGGGTTTTAAATTCTCTGATATACTACATTGTGAGTCTTTTCATGTGTCCAAGTCTTTTCATTTACCGTTTGAATTGTCTAAACATAAGTTAAATGTGCCATTTTAATTAAATCATTCTGATGCTTAGGGACCAACCATTATCCCTTCTATTTGTTGTTTTCATTTTTATATTTTCTTTATTGATGATTTTAGAAAATTTACTTGGATTTATCCACTTAATAAACACAAGTCTGAGGCATACTCAGTTTTTATTAGCTTGAAAAATGGTTAAAACCTAATTTAATTCAAATATTCAGTTTTTTCTGAAGTGATCATGGAAAAGAATTTGTTAATACAGCCTTTGGACTTTTTCTTCAAAACATATGTATTCTCCATCACACATCCTGTCCGTACACTCTTGAGCAAAATGGGGTTAGATAACGCAAGCATCGTCATCTCATTGAGGCTGTCGTTGCCTTGCTCTATGACTCCCATCTGCTTGCATCATTTTGGGTTGACGCTTTTGCTACAACCAACTACCTCATCAACTGTTTACCCACTAAAAACTTGGATATCCTCCTTTGAAGCACTTTACGTTCGGTCTCCAGATTACGTTCATCTACGTCCCTTTAGGTGTCTTGTGTATCCATGGCTGCACGCTCACACTAATCACGAACTTCAAACTTGCTCTAGACGTGTGTCTTCCTCAGTTATCATCCCACGATGAAAGGTTACAAATGTTGTGACCCTCTCTCTTAGAAAACCTATGTCTCCCGTCATGTTTGTTTTGTAGAAGATCAGTTTGCTTATTCTCACCTCCAATCCACTCCATCGTCCTCTAACCCTCTAGGTATCATTACCATCTTTCCCTCTCAACCAAGCTCACATGCTCAGGTACCGCTCCGTCCAAACGTTGTCTCCTTTGCTTCTACCATTCAGACGGTCGACTAATATAACATGCCCGTAGCCATACACACGATTGACTTTCCAATACTCACCCCACAAAAACCCTATAGACGGTCCAGCCACCAGACCATTCTGCTCACCATGGTCGACTGTCATCAACCACCAATTCTGGTTCTCTACAGACGGTCCAACCACTAGATCGTTCTACTCCCCACGATCGACCATCGTCAACTCCCCTCTCTAAATCCCTATAGGCGGTCGATCTTATGAACTACTCTCCATACAAAGGTCGACCTTCATCTGTCTCATCTTCCACAGCTAATGCTCATCATATGTAGATCCGAGCCAAACCTGGCATTTATAAACCTAAAACCTATTCAGCCACCACCATTGACACTAACCCTCTCACCTATGAACCCCATACTTACAAACAAGCTTCCAGTAATAATTATTGGTGCCAAGCTATGGATGAGGAGTTTACATCTCTGAAAGAACAACTGATAAGGGATTTGGTACCTCATCCCAAATACCAAGCACCTATTGGTTACATGCGGGTGTATCATATATAGGGATGGCAACGGGTGGGGTTCGGGTCGGATAGTACTATACCCGAACCCGACCCGACTTTTAAAACCGAAACCCGAAACCCGACCTTTTAAGCCAAAAATCCGACCCGACCCGAACCCGACATTTCAACCCAAAACCCGAACCCGACTTTTAACCAATAATCAATTCGACGTACCCCAATAATTTAGAAAAGATTAAATCTAATTTTTTATGTCTCATTTTTGATTAAGGGATTATAAAAATGATAATAAAATGCATATTTGATATAGTAGCACTTTGTCAAGAGATTATACAGAGTGCTCATTATATTCATAGATAGACTTTTATGTAATAAAATATAATATTCGGGTTTTAGTCGTGTCGGGTGCGGGTTTGGGTCGGGTCGGGCAAAATTATATATCCACACCCGACCCGACCCGATGTCGGGTTCGGGTAAAAAATTTCGGGTCGGGATCGGATTATTTTATTTTTGGTTCGGGTTCGGATATTTTAGTAGTCGGTCGGGTCGGTTAAGCTCGGGTTCGGGTTGAATTGCCATCCCTAATCATATAAAATGGAATCTTGATGGCTCGGTCTCACGGTATAAGGCTCATATAGTGGCCAAAGGGTACCATTAAGGATACATCATTGATTATAAGTGTTAGTCTATGTGCCCAAGCCTTAAAGGGGAGGGGGTGAATAAAGAGTTTAAAAACTTTTCAGAGATTGAGAAAATCGATTTTAGCAAACGCGGAAGCAATAAATAAAATGCAAAATTAAAAGCGTAAAATTAAATAACGTACCAATTTTAGACTCGTTCGGGTACTCCCTACTCCAATACCTTAAGGAATCTCCTTAAGAATTTTCGAATCTACTCAGTCTCGATGTCTTGAACTTCGTCACTAGTTTGGAAAACAACCCTTGCCAATAGGATTAAATCCGAGATTTTACAACAGCGATCTCGAATCGC